CTTATTACTTTGCTACTTGAGAACCTTTCTTTCACGACAGCTGTCGATTCTCCGAGCTATGTCGAACTATTGTTTCTTTAGTTTACCGAACTCTTGGTGACGATTTATCAACAAAAAATCAGAATATCATTAACAACTTTGACCTTACTATCAGCACATGTAGGAAGTATGAGACGAGGTTAAATACTACATATTCGCTGCAGATGTTTTATAATAACAATATAGCATTATATATTTTTTAATTATGTTATAAAGTTATTTAGTTCTTAAATTATTTTGCACCTAATGATATTTGAATTATGGTTCATATTTCAGAGAATATAGCTTATGCCGGCTGTAGTAATTGTAAACAAAATTTTCAATGCTAATGGTGTTGTATACTGTAAGTAATATATGTTAATATAATATGAAACTATGCTGTGTTCTTTTTTATATAAAAATTGTCTATATTTGTCCTTACGATACAATCATCTTCAAGTCAAATTAATAAACTCTCAGTTGTTGTATCGTGAAAATGCCACAAACAGGCAGACAGATTTAGTTTTAGGATTTAGTAAATTAATATCATTTTGTGTTGAGACTTGATTTTGTGGTGTCTGAGTAAGAATACATGTAATATTAAGTCATCATTTTCAGTTTAGGTATTAAAAAAGTAACTTTAGATAGAACTCACTTGATCTAAATTCAACTTACTATTTTATGTGTAAATTACACACACACTAATCAGCAATATTTCTTAGAAAATTTACCAAATTTAAGGACAGTAAATTTTAATAAATTTTGTATTATACTCAAGAATTTTGTTGTAACATTTCATATTTAACAAATAGGCAATGTTATAAAACAAAGAGAATTTATCTTGATTTATTATCGCTCCCTTGTATAAAATATTTCGTACACCATCCCCACGTTAGGTGCTCTGTAACGCGGAAAACGATTTCCTATTGTATATGATTTATAAGGTGATTCGATTTAATATTATTCGCTACGGAATTATTATACTATGTATGATAACATTTTGACGTATAACACTTTTCCTTCATTTTATACTTGTCTATGTTTTTTTTTATATCAAAATTTGAGCGCGTTTGCCTATTCACTCTTTACTTGAAAGACCCAATGATGTAAGAGGCAGTAAAAATAGACGTTGGTAGAAAATTCCACTACTTAGCTGCTCGCATAAGGAAAGATGATGCAAAACGGTTAGTTCGAGCAGCTGGGATGTCAATAATGTAGGATCGTATTGGTCATGTTAAAAGAAATATAACAATTGTCTTTCAATAGATGCGTGAACAGGGATGCCAATCGTACGCATATCCTCGTACTAGTTTGTACAATGTATGAAATCACTTAATATACCATGATGTGAGAAGTTAATGAGTCGATATGAGATTTTTCACTTGTTCTGTTTTTTCACTACTTTGTACCAGGATGTTTTTTGAGGTTGTCAACTCTGATAATTGTGATATAATTAAATAGTAATTAAAGTAAATAATTGTGATGCATATTCTAATAGTATGCGCTATCAGGGCACAAGTAAATATATATATATATATATATAAATTTTGCATAACTGCTGTACCGATACGTAAAAAAAAATATACAATAAATTAATCGATATATAAAAAATTAAATTTTCAGTAGGCAAACGACTTTCTCCTGTTATTATATTACATTACCGAATCGAATAATGACTAATTTAAATTTGATCACTCTCCCCGTTTTGTAATTTAGTAGCACGAATTAATTGGTCTGCCAACAGTTTTATAATAAATTGCATTACTGTGACTTTTATCATAGTTCAAGATGATAAAATTTACTAAATTATGGTCTAAAACTTGATTCACAATTCTTTCTACTTTATTAATTGTATATATACATAACCCAAAGAATACATAATAATAATATATTAGAAAAATTAACACAGTACCATCTAGCCCCAAGCTTAGTAGAGCTTGTATGGATATTAGACAACTGATACAAATACATAGATACATTTTTTTTGTAAATACATACATACAACATACATACATAGAAAACACTCAGTTTAAGCAAACAATTTACTTAAGAATACAAATGTTTGTATGAGGAATAGAAACTCTGACCATCGGAATTAAAGCGGTGCGCTAAACCGCTAAACCACGGTGACCGTCAATGAATTCACATTCATTGTTTTTCTAGATAACCGTTGTATTCAATAATACGATTACCACTTTCCTTGTAGATGCTAATAGTATAGAAAAGCATTTTAAGTCAGTCTAATGTTGATTGATTGATATTGATGGATTGACCTACCATTTTAGTTACAAACATGTTAATAAACGAGGGAGTAAGAAATAACTTCTAATGTATTTGATGGATTCGTTTTGTTATTGACTTTAGATTAGTTTGCTAATGATTACGTAAGTTCTTAAGTTTATAACTATTTTATAAAATGAATGTTATCTATTGTTATCGACTATGTGAGATAAAAGAATACTGTTAAAAGATGTTAAGTATGTTTGTATAGACAAGGAGTTGCGATTTATTTATTATGTTACATGCTGATCGAGGGACTAAATCATTATCTCCTTAGTACCTTGGTCTTTCAACCGCTAAGAAGTTTGCTTTGTTAGCTGTTTCCTGTTGAAGGCTGAGATAAAGAAGTGAAATTACAGGATTACATCTATTTTCTCCGGAATGGCGACGCCTGAGAGTTCCCGGGTGTCACAGGATAATTTAATATCCGTAGTGTTGTTTATGTATATCGCCGACGATTACACATAAACTTATAACTGTTTTGGAAGGAAGTAAACATTAAAATTAAAACTTTAGAGTCAATTCCCTAAAACTACTTAATGTAGTATTTATTACGAAGGGTGGAACGTATTACAAAAATGTAAATAATTAAAAAAAACGTGCGTTCGACTTTTCTAACATTAATTGAAAAACAAATGGAGCTTATTAGTAATGCAGCGCTTAAATATTGCTATGTTGGTAGTCTGCCAGATTTGTTTTTCTAATTGGTTTGATTTGTGCTTTATCTGGATTTAGATTTGGTATATGTAACGGTTAGAATTGTACGTTCCTGTAGCTGCTAAACCTCGTAAATTATTGCCAGATCATTCCTGGTGATCTAAATCGATCAGTTAAAACTGGAATGCCTTTGCACAGATATGGAAACAGTAGAGCGATATATGGATGGCAGAATTTGTACACAAAAATAGAAATACTTTTGTCATGCTTTAACAATTCCTGCCTGTCAAATGGTTTAACGTGACGTTTGAAACTCAAAGGAACCCCAAAACAAATGTCGTATTAGATTTTCATTATTTTGTTGACTGATTTAAGAACAGAGAGATGCTTTATTTTAAATGTCTCATGGTATTTTCACTGTTGAGAAGTGATTGTGTATTTGTTAAATTTAATTCTGTTAGTTTAATGTTATACTAAAACTATAAAGAGTAAATATTTTATGTTAAAGATAATCATAACATTTTGTAAACAAAACTTTGATTAATAAACTTTACATAAAAATTTACTAACAGTTTAAATACATTTGGTTATGTTTTATGTACATACATAATTTTAGTACACATAACAAAAGAAAATTAAGGCAAAGTCGTCTTCATGGATACCTCTGTCCCACCTAAATAGGTGGGACAGAGGTATCCATGAAGACGACTTTGCCTTAATTTTCTTGCTGATTGGAAGCGTAAATACGCTTCCAATCAGCTTTCTTTGTAAGCTGTGTTCCTGTTTGTGGTTGAGATGGAAATGCATCAGCATCTTAAAATGGTCTGGATTCATTTTACATTAAAACCTGTCTAATTTCGTCTAGTCTCGGCGGAAATACGTCGACTACGCCATATGGTGTCGTATAACGAAGGTGTTGAAGAAAATTCATAACATGGAAATTGTGATGTAATATCATATTTTCTTTGAACATAAGAAATCAGCATTAATATTAAAAATATATGTATAATTAATAAACCTCGGTTCAAGTATTTTGGGGACCTGAATTACTTTATATTATATATTGTTCAATTATCTCTTAAATTTCAGACAAAATATTACCTTTATCCGTAACTACGAGTCTTTAGTAGAATCTATATAATACTCTCTTTCAATTAGTTTTAGTATTTAGCTTTAAGTATTATTATGAGAGTGAAATGTTTATATACAAACATATTAAGGTAGTTTATATTATTTGCCCCACCTCATTCAAAGTCTAGGTAACTTAATGATTAACTTAACGATTAGTAACTTGATGCCTGAAATCCTAGCAGCGCCAATATTAGTTTTGACTGGAACTTTGAAGAAAAATACGTACATCTAAATGATATGCATATTGGGCATGCAAAACTTCAAATGTAATTAAATATTATCCAATCATTTTAACACAGTACACAGTATTCTAACGTTGTTATTTATATATTACTAAATGATGCCCGCGACTTCGTATGATTTTTAGATATAAATAAATTTGCTTATTTCCATCTTCTTGGTATAGTTTATCTTCACGTAAAATTTTATTAAGATCTGTTGAGGGGTTTAGTCGTTAAAAGTATAACAAACAGACATCAATACACACTTTCACGTTTATGTACATATATTATGAACATGGTTTTACCTATTGTATTTGTGTAAAGCGAAACACAGACATCTTGTATGTGTTATTACTACAACATATTTGGAATTCATAATTAATTAATTTCACGTATGTTTAACAAAAATAAACACTACACACTAAACGTCGGTGAACAATCGGATTTCGATAAACATTACCTAAAGCAAACAAACAGTAACGGTAAAGCTATAAATTATTAGAATACGAGAATACATGCATACCGTCTCGGGAATTGCATTTAAATAAAAGAAATATTCTCAGTATATAAATAACTAGATTTGTGGAGCAATGGGCGCCGCTGTTATTATAGCGAAGAAATATAGGATATGGCGTGTGTATGTGACGGCCGAAATATCCCGACGCGAGTTAGTCGCGCGCGCAATATCGACATCGAAAGATGCGTACGCGCATCATCAGATAACAATACGTTTTCAATTATTTATCGGGTATTTATTGTTATGTTTAATTAATAAATATATTGTTCATTTAATACACATTTAAAAAAATGTGAGTAATGTCTGATGTGTAAATGTGTAACAAAATATAAATGTAACTGAAAATTTAATTAAATAACCTCAAATGTATTTAAGTGTATTAGTTAGTAAATAATAAATATCCGAGCGGAACAGAAATAAGTATTTAAAAATGTGATTAATTGGTGAAATCATACGTGTTACGTGTCGAAATATTTGTGAAGGTTGTGGTGCCAAAACGACGCACAGTGGGTGTCGTTTATTTGTAAATGTTCTTTAAATAAGTGTTTACGCTATAATAAAACATGGTAGCCGCATTGGAAGTTGCCGAAAGGACGAACAATAATTTCTTTAAATCTTTTCTACCTGTAAGTTGGCATAATGTTTTATTCACTATACTATAAGAATGACGACTAATATGCTTTTTGTGCTAGAAGACTTTGTGATACAATCTATCTTTTCAAATTTTGTTACTAGATGTTCAGCTGTTTAGACTTAAAATGGTAACAAACCAAGAGATCTCATTCTTTGTAGACTGAATATTTTCCAATAATTCTAATCCATCGATACATATGCTAAAACATTTTATTTTTATTTTCTATGTTTATGTAAACTAGAGTTGGCTAGTCTGCACTCCTGTTTTAAAGAGGAAATATTTGTATGTTTGTAATGATATAACTCAAGAGCACTGGATTTTTAAAAATTATTTCACTAATATGCCAGTATACTATCCAATCTAACATAACAATGGTAAAATCTAATAAATATTAATTACTAGGAAAAAGTATAGATCCCTATATCCATGTGAAGCCGGGACAGGCCGCTTGTTTTAAATATAGGTAGTCTGTCTACTGCAAATATTACACTGATGTAAATAAGCGCGAGTTGATCTCGTAATACATTATGTAAAATGTATATAAGTCTATACTTTTATGTAAGTATCAATACATATAATTATATCCGGAATGAATATGTCGGTATGTGTTTTTATAAGAAGTAGCAAATCGAGATAAAAATGTAGGTACAAAGAGATGGTGCTGGCACTTCTATTACATGTGTTATGTTAGATTATAAATTTTCTTAATTTAGTATTTATACACAGGTATTGTAACCTACGCATCTACGTAAATTAACTTCGATACTTTTCCTTAGCTTTTTAATTTGGTGTCTATATGATTTCGTTAGACAAACTTTACAAGATAGAGCAAACAATAATGTTCTTTCCTCATTTTAACGAGTAATTACTTATTATAGACATATACGGTATATATATTAAATTATTATATAAAAAAAAATTTAAAGCGAAGAAATCTTTATCGTTAATTTTTTTTCTGTGTAATTTATGTTATCTAAGAACATAAATTACATAGAATAAAAAAATCTGAACTTATTTTGATAATTCAAAAGGTTTTTTTAATAAAGGAGATAATCATATTGCACCTGTCGAATATTTTTCATCACTATTTTCACGTAATCGAATCAGTAAACAATCATTTCCTGTTTCTAAAATATGTATGTTTCATTCATCCGAGTTTGACTGTGTACTAGATATCTCTTTGTTTAAACTGTTCCAAAATAGATACGGGCAAATGACTTCTGAACTGTGCCAAATTTCTACTAGATAGCAAATAGCTAAAGCTATTACTAATAAAAATGACCTTGAATATATGAACATATTTTTCACTGGTTCCAATATTACGGGAAGCGTTTTCTAAATTTAAAACATCTACATTTTCACTTACGACCCTACTTTTTAATTGACAATAATGAAATCGTGAGTCCGTCTGCGCTGATTGTAAAACGTTGACGGAGCACCGGTGGAGGAAGACGAGATGAGGATAAGGTCAGGTTAATTGCCACATCTTTACAAATTCACCAGGTATTAACCATAATGGTTTCCGGGGCACCTTAGGTAGACCTAACATGGTAGCAATTGGGGTCAATAGTTCCTAGTACTAAGAACGATGGGGAAGCACCCCTCCTTAATTGATTAATTTTCACAAAGATTTTTCAGAACGAAATGAAAGCATTTTGCAATATTAGCGTTTATTATTAAAATATTTCATAAAAAACGTATAAAAACCACGGTTTTCGTCAGCTTGAATGTCGTCAAACAGTTATAACTTATAAAAGATGAATATCTGACAGGATTTCCCGCTGACACTTCATTCCACTTTTTTATTTTATAATTTACTACACTGGGATGGTCATTCTGATAAATGTGGCTAGCAAAATAAATGGGCTTTAAGGGATCAGAGGAATTTGTTTCAACGCACTTTTTTGTCAGATAAATTTTAGGTTCTTTCTTCAAAAGAACCTGGATAGAATTACAACGTTACTATTAAATATAGTTTCTCTATAAATTCAAACCAATCAAATCAAACAAATATATGAAAACAAATTACGGTTTGGCCGATAGTTTTATTAAAATTGATTCAAAAGAATCGTTTAATAATTGAAATGCTACGTCGTACCTAAATAACTATTATATTAATCAATTTATTAATTAAGATATTTCCTTACAAAACTCCTTTTCAAGATATCCAACAATGCATGAGATTATTAAATTATTTATTTATTTTGACCGTCTTGACTTCTTAATCTCTTGACTCTAGATAACGATAAATGCATAAAATTGTATGTACATATTACATACCTATTGCTTTTACGATATCGTTAGCGAAGTCCAAACAACTAACAAATACCACAAATCATAGTGTTTTTAAAATTTGATGCTCCGCCAAACTGGCGGCGTCCTTGGTAATTTATCTACTAGACAGCAAGGCGAGGTTGTTTGAATATTATAATATAATTTTTAAAATACTTGAGAACCGAATAACAATATGCAGAAACGCGGAAGAGTTTGTTACGTGTAAATATGTAACATATGCACCTTTGAGTAATTATTTACAGTATAGATTTGTTACTCCAATTAAATTGAATAATATAATTAAAGTAGTAACAATAATAATAATCTATATTTGCAAATATATTAGTACAAAGTCATACATTTAGCACTGGTTTTCGAAATATATGTAATATAACTTTAAACTCTACCTAACTGCATTCTTTTTTTAATTTCAGGCTGTAAACTCACCAACGATTCCTCATCGGGACGTTTCGGGAACATCAACAACCTACCGTCCTTACAACCAAGAATATGCATCTGTACAGCGCCGAGTCGACAGACCAGTGCAACCTGAAGTTGAAGCGGAACGTATTAAAAAAGACAAAAAATGGTCATTGGGAAAATTATTCAGAAGAAAGAAAAAAGAAGAAGATAGTGGTTCGTCATCAGAAAGCGATGAAGGTGTCAGTACGAGATCGCCATCTAAAAAGAAATCTAAAAAGAAAAAGAAAACACCAGCCGTCAATAACTTTGATCATATAGTCTTAAGAGACTCGAGAAGAGCTCAAAGTCTGGCCAAAACCAGTGTTCCCGATATTGCAGACGATGGTATTCTATCAGATCCTTCGGCTGGCTTCCTTAATTATCGAGCTAAAACACATTTATATGGTGCGTCTAAAGAATCTATAAGTTTGAGAGATGAGCACACATATCGTACTTCGAGACCTGGATTAGAAACTTCATCCAGGAAAACACGGAAAGGTAGATTGAAGGCTCGTGTTGAAGCATTAAGAAATAGTATGAGAGGTGAATCGAGCAGCGATGAAGAATCATTAAAGTCTTCTAATTCTTCATCAATGGTACGATTTAGAAGTGACGATTCATTAATGCGATCTCGTGATAGTTCGCTAAACAAAAGAACCAGAAGTGCGAGAAATGAAAGATACGTAAAGAGATTATCGCGTGATGAAGAAAATCAACTGAACAAAGAAGCTGAATTAATACAACAGGGTTACACAAAAGCCGAAGTCGAGATGTTAACAAGAACACCTACAAGTCAAAGTAGTGGTTATGGAACTTGTAAACGGGAACAAAATAGCAAAGTTACTCATGACCCGAGCTATATTAATGATGCACATCATCGTCCTTTAAAATCAGAATCAATTTCATCATTTCCATCAACTCAAAGTTACCCATCATCTATTAATTTTAACGCCAAAGTTAACAATGAACTAATAAACTATTCCATACAGTGCCCAAGTAATCTTATAAATAGAGAACCGCTTTATGCTAATAACAACAGGGAAAGGAGTGTCAGTAATCATTATGAGAAACCAGAAAATGTTATGTGTGTTAAATTTCCACTAGGAAATGTTACTAATATAAAGAGAGAAGACAGGGCTCCACCTGTACCACCTCCGAGAGACATGCAAAGAAAGCTCACTACACCACTATCAATGTATTATGAAAATAATTCTACAGTACCTGACAGAATTGGAAATAATCAAAATGTCATACATGGTGTACCCAACAACGATTTTGATAGAATTATGAGAAGAAGTCAGGAAAGATCGATAGGTCAAGGATTTAACGGCTTACGACGACCGATTTCTACCTCTGAAGACCATATTGCTATGCAAAATAATGAATTACCTCATAGCTTTCAATATAAAAATGAACAACCTCGTAGGCCTGCTTCTGTATCAGCAGAACCCAATCATTATGGACTATATGCTAATACACCACCTTGGAGAAAAAAAGTTGAACAACCTGTTATTATCAAACCAGAGCCTATTCAATTGCGACAAGATTACTTATACTATGCTGATCAAAGCCCTAGATCACGACGTCCAATTAGCATAAAATCTAGTCAAAATGGTTATGAAAATCAATATTTAAGTGATTCCCAGGCAACTTTAGGTATAACTGAAAATATATATAGAAAGCCTCGAAATGCTTCAGAGTTTTGGAGAAAGATTGATGATGCTGAAAAACAAAGAAAACAACAAGGAACTTTTACAAATTTTAGGAACAAAAGTAATTATGCTAGTGGCACACAAAAACATAAAGTGATGATGGATCAAAATAAAGCGAATTCCATTAAACTAGAGAATTCCGATATTCAAAATAAAAATAAAATTGAATTTAGAACTCAGTCTCTAGATACTTCGGATGGTGCTAAAATTTGGAAAGCCACGACTGAATATAAACGGTCCGTAACTGTAGAACCACCAAATACTGTAACATCGCCAAATTCGAAAACTCATGTCAGACATAAATCGGACACATATATACCGAATTCCCATTCTCAAATGACGTCTGATGACGAAAAAAGCTCTGAACGACGAAAATCTACAAATCTTGATGATGCTCTTAATGAATTAGAGGCCATATATAATAGCTTGGGTTTAGGTGATGAAGATTTACTAGACAGAGCTGAACGCAGAGAATCAATGACTCCAAAATTCAACGACCACTACAACGATTGGAATGGTAATGATAATGATGTACAATTACGTAGTCAGCCGACAACACCATTACGACGTGTGTCAAGACGATCCACACTACCAGATAAATTGCAAGATGACATGGCATTTCGAAGGATGAATTCGCTTACGAAAGATAAGCCCAATTATAATGATACACAGACACAAATTAGCTATATGTTAGCCTCACCTGTATATGTTCCATACGCATCAGATGACGATAGAAGTTCTGATCATCGCAATGAACCAGATATAGTTCACGACGATGTGGTTTATAGAAATATCAAACAAACCAATAGTCGTTTAAAAACGCTTGACCCTCAACCACCTTTTGGTATACCTCTAGGGCCAGTATCTCCTGCTCCACAAAGTGACTACTTACATGCGACGCCTGAGAATAAAGTTAGGTCACGATTTGTTCCCAGAAAGTCGCCAGATTTAGTATCCGATGATTTAGCATACCGAAATCTTAGGAAAGATAATAGACATTCTACGTTCTTCAATGGAGATGAATATAATGTTCATATTAATAATAACCAAAGCTATACTGAATTTCCTTTCACGAAGGAATCAGTTGCTAGCTTAAAAAAGAAGAGAGCAGTAAGATCTCTGTCTGCCAACATATTCACTATGATACAAAAAGAAATTGATGATGCAGTAAATATGAGCAAAATGGCCACATTGCAAAAAACGAACAGCAATAGCGATGTTATGCGACGTCTTCGAGAAACCTTCGAAAAAAATGACAACGAACAGGATTATTATCCACGTAATAAGGTAAAACACAGACATAATACTGTCAGTCTCTTTGTCAATAACACCCATACACCAACCTCTCATTTCGCAAAAGATGACACGTACATTCATACTGAGGATAAATATCTTGCTAAGCCTCCATCTTATGATAAGTCAAAAAGCTCATCACCATCCAATAGATCACCACAATCATCTAAACGATCATCTAAAGACGAATTTCAGCACGTACTCAGTATGCTTGCACAAGAAGCAATGGACACCAGTAATAAACTAGGAGTAGCTTTAGCTGAATTAGATAAAAATAGAAATAATACTGAAAAGAAATCAGATATTCAAAGCAAACTATCCGATAGTAGATTGAACTTTTTAAATGGTTTAACTGGGAAACCATTAGATGATATTAATCCTCCAGAAGTAAAAGTTGTTAAAATACGCTCAGAAATTATTGCACCTAATGATAAGTACAATAATAAAATAAATGAGCAAACTAAAGCCAAAAATACCGAGGATAGTCTTTTAGCCATATCAGATCAATTACATAAAGTTGAAGATCAACTTAAACATAGTTTTGAAAAAGAACTTAAATTCGAAGATGAAAGTTTAAGACTTTCTAAATATATATCCAAATCTGAAGAGAAATTAAAAGCTGAGGAAAAAACAGTTGCAGTCGCTGATAATAAGTTAGTGCCGGATGTTATACCGTTAACCATAAAAAACGACTCCATAAGAATCGAAAATATTAGTGACTCTGTAAACAAACATGACATTGAAGTCGCTCATGAAATTAATCCTCTCAATCCATTTTTAAATATCGATGATAAAATAAAAGAAATTAATGAAATAAATGCATTTAAGGAACTAAAAGATGGAATTTCCGACTTGATAGCTGGAATTACACAAGTTAATGATAAATTATTAGTATCCAAATCATCGAAATCAGAGAATAATAGTCCTGAGAAAGATAAAATTACTGGTATATCAGAAGCTACTGAAAAACTGATCCAGGTAACTCAAAATTATTCTAGCCAAGAATTGCCTAATAGGGGTTCTATAAATCTGTCAATATATGAAGATGACTTAGATATAAAAAAAGACACAGCAGATTCAACTGAATATAATTCCTCTGAGGAATTGGCAACTATATTTAAACTACATGAAAATAGTGTCAAACCTCAGATAACACCTGTTGATGAAGTTCAGTCTGAATCGGAGACAGCTATTAGAGATGAATTGAGTTCCCCTAAACTTGTTCAGTCTATGAATCAACAATTAAGGAGGCTGTCAGTGGACCAAACGAATGACAGTAATAATAGTACAGCTAGTCAAAGCAACTCACTGCCAACTAATATTGTGCCGTGGAGGACTAACAGGCAAAGTAACAATTCAAATAAAGAAAAAAGAGGTACGTGGCCCATGTTCATGCACGGTGTTCGGTTTTCATTTTAACCATTCTGCATCCCGCTTTTTGTTATCATTTTACATTTTGTGTTCACAATATCCCTGATTTTGCGAATTTAAGTTGCATAACAAAATACTAACTAGTTTTATATTGTTTGCGTTGTTTTGTTCTTTCGACAGGCGATAACACGCAGTCGAAGCGCAGTTGGCACGACTCTGGCACATTGATGTTAGCTTGCTCGTACACACTGATGTTCTCCCAACACCTGGCAGACCTCGACTGGTTGACGCTGCTCGGCTTGCTCCTGGCAATTATCACCATTATTGCTATGCTTATAATTTAACCCTTAGTTGTAAAATGTAGATGACAGTTAGTAAAGATAGATTTGTTATTAATACGCTGGATCTATGGAATTATTTGCGCTATTGATCCTGAGAGTAACATAGGTTTTTTGTTAATACCTAAACAAAAAGAGAGATTTGTTAAAATTAAAATTAAATTGCACTTAGAAACTCCGACGTCTATCAATGTTCCAATGATAAACTATTATTGCATATATAATTAGGTATATGGTTATATTACACTTTAATAACTTAGCTGTGATTATATTTTAATCGTCTATAAACTTTTTTTATGTTAATATCTTAATTTTGTGTGCCAAAAATAACGATCAAATGAAATGAACTATTAAGATTAAGTTATTGAATTTCTTTTTTAAGAGCATGGATATAAATAATATATTTTCGTTTAATGCATGTATAGTGTTATAGTGTGTAGTACTAGATGTTATTAAATTAATTTCACATTAAAATGTTTCATATCGCCGTCACGAAATTTTGTAGTAATTACCTGCATTGTAGTGATTTATGTTTTCATTAACCAGAAATTACTAAGTATTCTATTCATATTGTATCAACTTTTTTAGATTATTATTACTGTAAATATAGTAGTATTAGTATTTTTCTATGAATTATATACAGAATATAAATTGTACTTATGATTTTTAAAATGTTTATCTTCCATAGTTCTTAATATAAAAAAAAACGTTTTTTTTATTGGGAATTAACGTATCACATTATTTTGTGATATTTTTATCATAGTTTCGATGCAGTATGCATGCTATTAAAGAAATTGATAATTTTAGGTAAAGTAATTCAATTTAGAAGATATTGAAATGACAATTTAAATATTTTAATAAAATAAATTACTATAATAGTGGTCCTTAATTATTTCATATAGAGCTGCAAAACATTAAATGCTACTTATATAGAATACAAATTATGAGGTACCTACCTACATGATCTATGTCCTATATCAAGAAAAGGCAAAATGTGACATAAACAAATAAAATCTAAATTAGCATTACTATAATAATAGTATAATAGGTACTTACAGCATACAAACATATATATCCAGTCAAATATGCTTCTTTCTTCCATAAACACCTGATCTCCAATGCCGGAGGCATCTGTAGAATTTGCTGCTGGCATTTATTATCCATATTTAATTTTGATAGTAGTTTTTTTTTATCTTCTAATCAATTTTTTAATAACGTTGTAATAATATTAGTATGTCGCTTATTAATATTTCTATTTCTATTACATATGTATTTGACTTATTGAATACTTAGAGCATTTTCTTATATATTTTTACATCTACGTCTCTATCTCTCTCGCCTTCAACCTAAATACTTACATAGGTATATATTTAACGTCCTGAAATCATTAACATAAAACGCGATCATCAGAGAGCTATACCAAGATAAACATACCTATAACTTTTCTCTCATTTGCTATACTTTTTAAATGTTGTGAGACATACTTATACGAGATGCTTCCTTATTTATTTATAATAATATTCTAATATTAACATTTCATTACCTTATATACCCAAAACATTTAAAATAAATCAATAGTAGGAGTAGGTAACTTGTTATTCGAATATAAAGAATCAGTTATCTGAATACGAAATAAACTTAATATACCTAATTAATGATTTCAAGGAGTACTTGCTATTAGTTATCTAAATACCTCCTTAAGTTTTCGACGAAAATGCCAGCAGTCATTCTTTGATTTAAACCCGGCGGGAAAGCCAATCGTTATGAGTAATCTACAGAAGTCAAATTCTTAACATTGAACATTTCAAGTTGTATAAACATCGAATACGAATAGGTATATACGTAGATTATGCCTATCATTAATTATAATTCAATGACCGTTTGTTTTTAGGTGAAAACTGATTGCCTCGAGTCTGCCTACGACACAGTGTGAGAGATACAACATGTTTATTTTAAGCCATTTTTTAAATTAAGTTAAGCTACTTCCTGTATTTTATTCTATAGCTGTGTATATTACATATTATTATTACTGTGTTTATGTAGAGGCTTCCAGTTACATTAAAGAGAGCGTTATTTATATGAAAGAAAGTTATAATTTAAATAAAATGTTTCAGTTTACATTGTTATTTTATTAACCTTTTCTCTGTACTGTCTATAATATTTTATGGAAAACAAGCAGAACCTTAAGTTTTCAAGCAATTATCTATATTTAAACTATATTTTATTAGCCAGAAAGAAAAGGATAAAAAATGTGTATAACCACAGATAACATAATATTACATAGTACTATGTAATATTATGTTATCTGTAATATTACATAGTACTATGTAATATTATGTTATCTGTGGTATAGCTAAAATGCGTTACACTATAATCGTTCATAGGATATAAGTTACAAGGCACACTTATTCAGAAGCAAATTCTCACCTTCACTGATACTATGTAAAATGCAAGTTCCTCGTCAATAGATTCCGTAAATAGAAATAATGGAATAACTCTGCTTATTAGTACCTAAACTATTTACAGTGATGTTAAAACACCACTGTTATCCCGATTCGATTTCTATTTTCAAATTCGATTTTTAATAGTTATGTACGCATTCCCTAAAAGTATTCCTGACCAGCCTACCATTGAAGAATGAATATGTAGTCAATAGTATACAATTTACAGCAAGGATTGTTGAGAAAATAGTATATTATATACCTATTTGATGTGGAGATAGAATTATAATTGAAAGTACACGTAGAGACCTCTGTTATAAATGATGCGTACTTCACGATATTTATAATCATTCTACAAAATTTTATATAAAGCGCCATCTATCCAATACTATTTATAACTATTGTAGTTGACAATTGCCTCGGTCAGATGTCACTAGGTACTGACTTAAAATAATATCTCATCGTCGTATCTTTCTTGTTCAGTTTATAGGATAAAATTATTACAGTTTTTGACAATGCAATATAAAAAAAACATTTTTATGAATATATATATAAATAAAAATAAATTAAATATTTATTAATACGTGAAATATTCTCTGTGTCGGTCACTACAAAAATTGCTGTCACTGTCATCAAGTCTCTTCTGTAATGTGTCAGCTGTCAACATGCTACAACTGTCATAGTTTTCGCATAAAGAAACGTATGCGTGTGTTGTGAGTTTTATTTGCAAACGAATTTTCTGTTATTTTTTGGCATTAGTATTCTAAAATTAATATTAATATATTATTAATTGATAGATTTTTGTACTAAGTGTTTATTAATTATACTATCTAGCCGACGTGTGTGTATATAATTAATTATTTGTGATCTACAACCTACTTTGTTCCTGTTGACCTGCCTCATTCGACTGTGATTTTTAAAAGGTAACGGTTTTAAATTTATGAAATAATAATATTTTTACATTAATCTACCTCATAATATTTTTTAATTTTAAATGTTGTTGGCTAATTTCTCTTTTTAAAATATTCAATAAGTACGGTAAGTTAGGTATTTCGTGATCGTGATCAACTGATGACTGATGTTATCTTTTATATTTGTTATTGAATACTTTTCAAGGTAATTAGGCCTTTATAGAGATTGTGGTCACTCTTAGAGACTAGAATACACGAGATAATACATATTACTACTATTCTTAGAATAACTTTTAGTAATAATTAGATACTTAAGCAAAGCTTTGTTGAAAGTAATAGACTGAATTGCATTTATATACCTAAACGATCTAAACAATTATTTTAAAGTTTTATTTACTTGTTAAATTTAAATTACTGTTACTGTACTGACCACACATGTTGATACAGCAACTTATGACATTAATTCTTCCATAGATATTAACCATTAAGTTAAGGAATACCTATTGTAGATAGTCATTTGTGATTTAGTCAGTGTATTTTAATTCCTCACTCATGCATATATTGTATAATTACCACAATAACACATATATTTTATTTAAACATTCATAATAATATATTTTGTAAATAATTTTTTTTTTTATATTTGTCTGTATTTACAAGAAAGTTCTATAACACTCTTATAAATATGTAATGAATGTCTTGAAAGATTAAGAAATGATAATATATCATACTCTCCAAAATTACTTATGTCTGATTCAATTTTGATAAATGTATGTTTTGGGTTAATTTTAACTTCAAATATATATTTTTTTATTTGAAATAATTAAAAACACCACTTTCCAAATAACAAAATGAGTGTGTGGGTTGTTGTGGGTATTTTAAAAGATGAAGTATTCTCACAGTACCCTTAAATGGAGTGGTAATATGTTTAACGTAGTATAACTATGTTCATTATTACTTGACATATTAGGGAGGTGGGAGGGGAAATTGACTGATGTGACAAATTGTAACAAGATTTGACTTGGGTTGGAGTTAAATATTGTGAAACAAATGGTTAAATCTAGCAAGAGTGTAAGGAGTCTTGATTTTATAATGTCACATGTCACACACAAAAACTAATACCACATGATTATTTCTACAGGGGCTACTCTAAGTAAAGTCATGTGGTTTTGTTTTTAGGAATTATATTCTTTTAAATAACAAAATTGTAAGGTAAATTTATTTAAGTAGGTACTTTTTTGATGTTTTGTTATCATTTATATACCTACTTAAACAACCCCAAGTATCATGAGAATTATACTTCAGGAATTGTTCTAATTTCTCTGTATACATACTAGGTGAATATATATTTACATAAAATATATATTTAGCTGTATCTAGAGTCCTTGTTCTCTAGTAACCATAGTACAATATGCTTAGTTTGGTATTGGATAGGATTCGGAGCTGTTTGTTCAGAGTTGTTTTATTTTGGTTTGTCTTTGTTATTAACTATGCAGTTTTTGTCTAGGCCAACTTTGAAAAAAGTGTTTGCATGGCTACCTCTGTCTCATATATTTGAACCACAAAGCAGCTGAGTGTGATAATACAGTGAAATTACATAGAATAGAATAGAAAATCATTTATTCAAATAAACTTACATTGAAGCACTTTTGAATAGTCATTACATTTTTTTAATCTACCGCTCGTTCGGAAAGCTGTCTCATCACAAGAAGAACAAGCAAGAAACTTGCATGTTGCTCTTTTAAATTATTTTATTATTACTTTACATTTTTAAGTTTAAGTGTGTGAATACAATTAGCACTAATTCAATTAAATACTCAAATAGAAAAAATATTGAATATATATAACCAACTGGTTAAACAATTAATATGAGGAAATCAGTCATAGTCATTAGAGCAGACCAGTCCCTACAAGCAGCACCCGTGATACAAACACATGATACAAAGGCATGGTTTTACTTCTCCCCAGTGGCAACTCATGAGTAGAGCTTGTATGCCATTCCAATTACATATAAAAATAAATGGAAATTAGTAAGAATACTGAGAGAAGAAATCTAATGAGTCCATATTATAGTGCAGTATATTTTATACATTATTCAATACATGTTTATACTTAATTCTCATAAATATTACTAATGGTGTATTTAGAGCAAGTATTCTTAGAAAGTGAGTAATGTATTTATTTATAGTAAGGTAAAAGCACTAATGCTAGACACATTAAGGACAAACCAAACTTCATTCTCAAAAATACAAATGTATTTATCAAAAAACTACAGTTACAATTTTTTTTACTGTTAGAGCAACTTTTACAAATTAACTTTTTCATGTAAGATGTTTTAAAACTAACATATTTTTAACTAAGAATAATATTTATCTTAGGTTTGTCGTAGACACTAAAAGATGACAGCATCAAAAATCAAATCCACCAAAAATAGACATCAATTGGAACTAATAGTAGACATATATAAGATCACTCTAATATTATTTGTTTCATCAAAACAAATCAATAAAAATACTTTAAAATGAATACCGAGCACAGCCTGTGCTTTAAAATTATTAAGTTAGCAACAAAATATAATCAAATAACATAAAAATATAATTGTCAGAAAATCAATATTTAGCCATATTGCTTGTCAAAAGTAATTAGATTTTGGCATCTGGGATGATGATGATGATGATGTTAAGTACTTTAAACTATTCAAATCTAAACTATTGATACTAGGACCTTATTCCTTAGGGTTGGGGTGGGGTTCACGAAGAAAGTAGTCTCGTCCATGTTATAAACTCGCTGAGGTGCATTAAGAATATCTGTATGAATATTACTGTTTAGGTAAGTGCCAATTTCTTGAAACCAATTTTTTATTTGAGATATCATTACAGATGCTCTGGAGGCTGTGAAATTTACCTTGTTATAAGGTCAGGGTGACGCTTTAAACAGCTGTTGTACTATCTCTTCCCTAGTCTACCGTTCTTGGATTCTATCTTACTATCTTAAGGTCTTGAACTATTTTCTTAGCACTATCTTGTAAGTTATCTTTTCGTATTGGGAACCCTTGTTTGACCATAGCTTTTGCCTATGTATTTTTTCACCGCTTCGGTCACATAACACCTTCTTCCCATTTTACGTGTAATAGGTCTTTCCCTTGACTTTGTTTATCAAAGTTACTCGGGACTCCGATTTTCTTCTCCACAGTATCTGTTGGAACGTCCCGCCTGCATTCTTATATAGCTGCTTCCATATTATCTTCGGAGTATCGAAACATCAGACCCTTTACTGGAGGCATTGTACTCGAACTTTAATTTGAAATTAATGGCTACCTAATAGTTGACACCTAGTATACCCTAATAGTTGACACTGTCTACTTATAGTTAGACTAGTGTAAAATAAACGAAACTCAGATACAAACATTAGTTTTAAAACGTAAAGGCTAAATTTGCATTAAAATAAGCTAACAAAATCAGTTCGATGTAACCCTAATTGAAGACACACATGTCATCTTTTAGGTTTTGTTTGATTTGTGGTACTAATAGTAAACACCACTTCAATTTCATAAAAAAACAAGCCAAAACAACAAGGAAATAGTTCTAATAGATCAATAATTTCATACATTTATAATATCGAAACCAACAATAGCCTATAATCATATATATATAAGACAAAATCATACGTATTAAAAGTCAGTCGCCTTAAGAAAAACGCTAAGAATTACGCACTTATTATCAACCTGCTCATATTGTTTGTTGTCAATTGACGCCGTTTTGAAATTTGCTTGACAATGTATGCAAGCTTTTGACCACGTATCATAAATGACCCTAGGTATCTTTAATACCAGTAGTGGTGTTACTTAAATGATTAGTTTTCTTAATAGAAAAGATTTTTTTCGAAAGTGTCATCTTTTAGTTCAGTGTCGGGCATTAGTGCTATTACCTTAAACATGAAATTAGTTATTTACCACACAATGTATAGTCTATAACTACACATTCCTTAATAATGTTATGTTTTGTCATAGATGATCTCATATGTGTATAAAATCATTTTGATTAATACAAACCTATAAGAAAGAGAAAATAAATAAAATATCTGAGAATGCAGTGGTTTATAAGTTGGTCAAGGTTGCAGCTTTATCTTACCATTTCAATTTATCATTTTATTGTACTTAAATAACAAATATTTTTTTACATTGAAAGTTGATGATTACATATGTTATTTATTATTGGAGTTTGTTTTTAAAATATTACCGACAATATAAACTTGCCTAGCCTAAAACAATATTATTAATTAACTATCTGACAGCATGCTAAAAATGTATTGTATTCATGTCTAAAAAAAATGTTGACCAACCTGAAGATAGTTTAATAATATTTACTGAGTAGACTGACATCCAGCCATGACAGTCACAATGTAACTTTCTTTATGTGTTTTGGATGAAAGGCCATTTCGTTAGTACAATAGAGGATAAGAGGCATGACATATTAGTCCGAATTGGCAACACACAAATTTGACCTCTAAGGTAATTATCATGGGATTCACATGGTAACATGATGTCAGTAGGTCTGTATATGTCTGTAAATGATGGTTGCCACTTACCATCGAGTGTGTTCTGCCATTTCAATGACATTTTCACTTCCCTGCCATTGCAATGACAACATGATCCTGTACTTATTTAGCTGGAACTACATGAATCTTTATGTTTAAATTATTTTTATTGGAGGATGATGGAATGGAGTACCCACCTGCGCTGTGATAATAAGAACATGACAATTTCCCATGATTTATCGTGATTATTTCCAGGGGGAATCGCATTCATTCATCCACATTAACAAATAATAACTCCATACCTCCCAGAAACTTTAGCGTTAGTTTTAATATAGGTACACTTGTAGGTATATTCCACAGTGTTTATTAATATTATTATTATCAAAGTGTTGAGAAGATGACTTACATATACAAATGAAATGATTGGGTGGGGAAGTGATAAATCTTAGTCATCGTTTGGTTTGGACAAGGGACAT